GTACAAATCTAATGAACAGTAAGCTCATTTTAAATGCACAACCTTTGTATATTACAGTACACAGTATCTGGATTCTACTGCAGTATAATCAAATAACAGGAACAATACAGCATCAAATACCGGGGACACGCTAGTGATCTGATGCAAACATTAAATATTGATGTGCCTCAGCAACATATTATATGTCTTTCCTATTATTAAAAAAACAAGGTACATTAAATTGTCAGCAAGTGTAAGAGGAAGCTGTGCTTTGCAGATATGGTTACTACAGAAGAGCTTTGCATTCACCAAGGAGCTTATATAGAACAACTGGAGTGCTCAGAAACCACGCGACCATGTGATCGACTGGTGAAGCTAAGGGCTAATGCAAAACGGTCAAGAGTCTGGATTTTCCATTACTGTACATGTGGCGACAGAGCAGAAAAATGGACTGACAATGTAGAAATCATTAATAATATTAACAAGGTTTTGGGTTAGAGTAGTGGTGGAGGGGAAACTGGCACCACACCGGCCTCTGCCTCTTCTTCTTTCCTTTTTTAATTGCTCTATAGAACAACACGCACCAACAGTACATCTGGGGGTGGGGGAGTGGGTGTCAGGGTCTTTATTCCCATCCCGTTCCCCGACTGCCATTTGGGGAGGGGGTCCTGAAGAAGGGCGGACCGCCGGGTGCGGTCCTGGGCTGTGGGTGGGCTCGGGGCTTGAACGGTCGCCGGGGTCGGGGCTGGCTCTCCGTCCTCCCTGGTGCTGCTTGGTCTCCTGAGGTGTGGCTCTTGGTTCCTGTGGGTGGCCCGCTGGCCGGGGTGGCTGCTGGGTTCCGTGGGGTGGATGGCTGGGGAGGTGCACTTGGCTGCTGGCGGTGTGGTGGGGTGGTCATGGGTGTGGCTTCTCTGCGGTGGGGGGCTGGCCGGGTGTCCTGGTGCGGCCCGGGCCGGGCCTTRGCTATCTGCTSYTCTYYACCTCAGAATGATTGGGTCTACCTCCTGGGTTCGGGTGTGTGCGGCCTCCATTAGGGGGTGGGTACTTGTCCTGGACCTGGGGGGTATAGAGTGTGTATCGGGGG